ATTCATATATTGTTGTTGAGCAATAAACCATTATTATTTTATGACCCACCACTGACCCGGAAATGACCGGCATTCAGGCAAGACTTCTATCATTACGGGTACTAAGACCAAGTAATGATATGCATTGATTAGATTAACAGAACAACTTTCGAGATTCTAGAATTACAGCATACAAATTAGTCTGCTATTATTCTCTAATCTCACCCCATCCCCAAAAGTCTAGCGTAACTACCGACCATTTATCCGCGCATCACTTGAAAATTGACCTACACTACTCTGACCTACTGGTGCTAACCTAATCTGACTAACATGATCAGACTGTTCAAGAAACTTACGAACAATATGACATGTTCCTAACAAAACAGCTTTTTGAATTTTGATAATTATTGAATCATTCAAATGCAAAGACTTTAAATTCTCAACTAAGCTATTTGGAACTACACCTACATTAGAGATAACTAGAGGTACAATTGAAATTTTTTTAAGATTCAACATGGATTTCATTTCTATCGATAACTGTAGATATTTTGAAATCTTGGTGTGGTATGTTTGAATAATGTTGTTTGTGTTGGGAACAGCAATGTCAATGAGAATGGCTTCGTTCGTGTGTTTCTTGATAAGTATGATGTCTGGTCTGTTAGCTGTAATGTTTAAGTCTGTAAGTATTGTGCGATCCCAGTATAATTTGTATTTGTTATTTTCAAGGAACGGAGATGGAATGTAAGTGTAATACGGTGTCGTATCTTCGATTAAGTTCATAAGTGTTGCTAATTCTTTGTGGATGATTTTGGCGACGTTGTCGTGTCTAGCTTTGTAATCAGTTTGTGCTAGGATGCTGCAAGAAGAGATTATGTGCTGGATCGTTTCAGGTTTTGCTTTGCAGAGGCGACAGCAGTCGTTTTTTATGTTCGGATCTTTGATGATGTATTTTTTGTAATTCTTGGTATTGATTACTTGGTCTTGAATAGCAAACACAAATCCTTCTGTTTCGGCATACAAACCTGATTTTTTTAACCAAATCAATGACATCTTCTTATTGATATGAGTTTCTTCTAAGTCTTTGTAGAATTTTCCATGTAGTTGTTTTTGTTTTAGCCCACTTATTATTTTATCTATTGTGTGGGGGGTGTGGATTTCTTCGGTGTTCGACAGATTTAAGGGTGTGTGGTTCAAATCTGCTCTTGTGATGGTGCGAAACATTTCATTTCTTTCCGCTCGTTTCAAGAAATACTTCTTCAAATCTGAGATTTGTCTCTGACATAAGTTTTCTAGGTTCTGGAAACCCCTTCCTCCATTCTGTCTTGGTAATGAGAATCTTTCAATCGACGATTTTGGATGATGCCTTCTATACTGTGTGAAGATTTTCCTTGTTGCGATGTTTAAATTTTCAAGATCAGTTTTGGACCATTTAATGACTCCAAAAGAATATGTTAGTAGTGGAACGCAGAATGTATTTACTGCTTTCATTAAATTTTTTCCATTTAACTGTGTCTTCAATATTAATTTCAATCTCGCTAGGTATTGATCTTTCAACTGTGTTTTCGTTTTGGTATGATTGATGTGTGATGATTGACAGAAACCCAGATATTTGTATGTATCGTTTCGTTCTTGTGCTTCGATTATTTCGTTATTCTGGGTTATATGTGGTACTTGGTGTTGGACGCCTTTTCTGATTGCTTGGGTCTTACATTTCTCAATACCAAAAGACATACCAATATCACCGGAAAATTGTTCAGTCAGATTTAATAGGTTTGTTAACTGATTTTGTGTACTTGCATATATTTTTATGTCATCCATATACAGCAAGTGACTTATTCTGTTTTCTCTTTGTTTGTTAATTCTTATATTGAACCCATAATTGCAACTGTTCAGGATATCGGAGAGGGGATTTATTGCTAAGCAGAACCATAACGGACTAAGAGAATCGCCTTGAAAAATTCCTCTTCGGATCATTATTGGATCTGACTGAATTGTTTGTTCATTTAAGGTTATTTGAAGGGTGGTCTTCCAAAATTCCATGGAACATTTTAGAAAAGTGCAGATTTTAGTATCAATTTTGTATAATTCCAGAATTTTGCATAGCCAGGAATGAGGGACAGAATCGTAAGCTTTCTTATAATCAATAAAAGCAGTATATATGTTTCGGTTTTCTTTTCTAGCTTGTTCACAGATGATGGAATCTATGATTAATTGCTCTTTGCAACCAAAGGATCCTTTAATACATCCTTTCTGTTCTTCATTAATGATGTTAGAGTTAAAACAGTGTTGATAGATTTTTTGTGTAATGCATGAGGTTAATATTTTATAGATTGTTGGTAAACATGTGATAGGTCTGTATTTTGATGGATTTTTTGTGTCGTTATCTTTAGGTTTTAAGTATGTTACACCATGACATAAGAATGTTGGAAAGGAGGATGGGTCAAGAAGGAACTGATTTAAGTGATTTAGTAAATGAATATGTACACAATTAAATTTTTTTATCCAAAAATTATGGATTTTGTCTGGTCCTGGTGATTTCCAGTTGTGTGTCTTATTGATGGTATTTATTAATTCGGCAAGTGTTATCTGATGATCATTCATTGGTGTAACTGTGGATAGTTTATGGGATATATGAGGAATCCATTTGGCAGATTGGTTAAATTCAAATTCTTCAGACCAAAGTTTTGACCAAAATGTTGTTACATCCTGTGAACTTGGAAGTTCACCGGATAATTGAGTTTTGTTTGAATTAGTTAAATGTTGATAGAATAGTTTTTCGTTGTTTAAAAATTTAGTGTTATGAATTTTTCTGAGATGTGATTGTTTGTATCTTTATTTGTATTATTATTATTATTATTATTATTATTATTATTATTAATATTATTATACATATATTTCGAGCAGTAAGTTGTTAATCCGTGTCGTGTGCACCCATGAATAACGTTATTCATGGGTGCACTCCAGATCAAATATAAACAAATAGATTGTATTTTCGTAACATAATGGATTCGATTCATAGAGACTGGCGGAGTATGGATGATTAAAGTACGATACATTAAACATTAGTGAATTCAGAAAACAAGAATCTCTAAAAAAATATGTAGTGTCGTTAAAAAAAGTATTGTAGGGTGTCAAAACACATTGCTTGAGTTTGTAGGAACTAGACTTGCGATTTTATAGCATAGTGTAAAACCAGTTTCAAGGCACGTGTTTTCTAATCGGTAGTAATAATAGGTTCGTTTTTCACGCGTTGATGACGCGTTTCTGTTGCAGCATCTGTTCAGCGATTCTAGTGTAGTAAATCGTTATTCGGGTTATTCTTTAAGCTGAAATTCCCCACTAGTGGCATTTTTGTCCAAAATTTCGTTTAGAAAATTATGTCCCACCAATTATTACTATTGATTTTTAAATTTTGTTCCTTACAAAATGCATTCTTTTATAACGAAGCTTTTATAAAGAAGTTGGTTTTTCTTAACCCGTTGTATAACTTTTCTTTATTTGATTAACTTTATGTCTTCTGTTACGAATCAAAAGGTCAAATTACCTAAAATTCGTTTTATATGTATTAAATTAAGAATACTGGTACAATAAGGAAGACTCGATTACAAAGTGTTTGTTGCTTTGAAAAAATGTAGTACTCGTTAAATATAAACAATATCGTGTGCTTGTTAACCACAAAAAGCCAATTTTAGTCGGAATAAAAATGTTAATTTTCTCTAAGGCGTTTAGCATAGTTGAGCATAAAAAACAATTACTAGTTTATTTTAAAGTAGATTCCTTTTCCTAAAATGGCATGTTTCATTAGGTCAAAACCTGGTAATTAACTGTAGGTAAACTTTACAGTACTGATTTATTGGTTTAATTTAGACCTTTAGCGTCCCGCATTGAATTATGTACTGTGTTAAATAATACTTTTACTCCTAACGGCCAAAAGCAGCAAAAGTAGCTGTCGACAGGTAGAGGCAAACAGTAAACGAGTAAAAATAAATGTTTAACTACTATGTTGACTCACAAAATGTCATATTTTCCTGATATTTATTGAAAAAATAATTGATGAAACGTGATAAAATAAACAAGACTCTAAATAATATAAAATGTAAATTCAGATCCAAATTGGAGAGGACAGTTTCAGCACAAGGTGTCGTATCTCCTATTCCTATTGGATTTCTTGCTACTAGCAAACGGCTTTTAAGAAAGGTTCGAACCAAATAACGTCCTATAAAAGGATACGGGTTATATTTTATTGTGTTATGTATGGATGTCGTAACACGACTATAGTTTTTTACGAAAATTTTGTTTTTTGGAAAAATAATAAATTGCAGCAGTCATAATTCTAGTATCAAATGAAGTTGAGCAATTGAAAATTACTGTTTCAAAACAAGCGACATACAGCTTTTTGCGCTTATTAATTTTCGTCATTTTTTATTATTATTAAACTAGGACTACCATATACTAAAGAATGTATTACATTAAGAGAAAGTACACACAGCACACATAAAACTCGGCGCAATAAACCAGATTCCGGACAAAGGAGCAAGTTTGCGTGAATAACTTACATGCTCATGAGATTTTTATTTAATGTTGTATATGAAAATACTTGAGGGAATAGGGTCGTAAAATTCCAAGACGGTGGTCGACAAAAAGGAATCTTTTCAGCTCCCGCTATTCTCGGCGTGTTAGCGAATCATAATAAAAGAGCGTTTCGTATTAACACAAACTGCCAAAATATAAACTCGCCGTTATATACGCATAAATAAGCATAAAACTTCCGTGTTGGAGCGTACTCCCCGAACTCCTTGTCCATCCAAAATCCGGCTCCTAAAAGCGTTTTACGGTAACTATTTTATCGAATTTTTTCGGTGAAATTCGATTTATGCTGATTTATAAGTCGAGAGTGAAACAGAATAAACACGTCCGACCGGGCTTTTAGCTCGTAGAAACGTAAAAGCTTCTCGTCGATCTCTTCTCGCGTCAGATTCTTACGAATTAGTGAAGACACACTGAAATATTTGATTTTTCAGAGTTATTTGATGAACGTTTCCTTTGAGTACGATGAGGAGATAATAGAGTTTGATGAGAACGGGGATCCACCGGGGCGCTACGACATCATGAATTATCAAAAGCTAGAAAATGGAACTTTTGCTTATGTGCAAGTGGGAAATTGGCACAATAAAAGCTTGTCGTGGACCAGACCGGTGCAATTTGGGAAATCTACTATTGTGAAGTCGGTGTGCGCAGAGGAATGTCCAAAAGGACACTACAAAGTAAGTAGTTACTAATTAGTAGACAATTGTGATTTTAGTTGACTGAACTTAACGCAGCGAAAAGCAAGTGCAAAGTACATTATTATAAAAACGTATTTCCTTCAATCCCCAATATATTTTGAATTAAATGTGGCAAATGACAACAAATTTGAAAAAATTAAAATTGAATAGAATCCGCCAAATGGTGAACATTTATTTTCTTTATAAAATGTGTTCAGGCATATTTAATTCATAGAACCTTTGTTTCTTTCAGACAAGCAATCTAAAAGGAAGTCCTACGCGGTTTATTGGTGGCTTCCAATAGACATAACGTCAATGTTCACTATTTGGCGGACTCTTGTTGTATACAAACGAGTTCATATTCTACACCATGAAGATAAAACTAAGTATGAAATTTGGAAATAGAATTGGTTTAAAGGTATTAAGTTCTTTTTTATGTTCCTTTCGTTAACTACAGTTCTGTAAGTTGTAATCTTGCTCCTCGTTTTTTTTTCAAGCTTTACTTTTACAATATAAATATACATAGTACTGGTAACCGTTTTACCTTATTTAAATTTTATAATAAACGTCACTTCAAAATTTTGCGTAGCAAACGTTATTTAAATTTTATAAAATAACTTTCTCCTGTACTCGTAGTTTATGAATCCACCGTAATTTTTTACTCTAATCGTCCATATTTTCTAAAAAAAATTCAAATTGCATAATAACACTTTATAATGTCGAATCGATTCGATTTCTTCATGCAACACTTTTTTTCTTGCACTGTGACTGGTTTTTTTAGAGAGGTTATCCTACTTATTAATATACTCTAAACCATTTTTTTAGCATCGATAATCCTTAAATCGACTAATGTTAAACTTGTGGATTATATCGGAAATGATTTTTTAAGAAAATATCTTCGGCAACATTCACTGCCTTTTTTCAAAATTCTGACTAAATATTTCATTACACGTATTATGTATGGCAACGTATTTTTTAAGACACCCATATAGAGAAGAGATAAAACATTAGTCTAAGCCCTTAATTACCATTGACCAAATCCAAATTTGAATTCGCAAAATTTTATTTATTTTATGATAACACCTGTAAGTAAAAATATATAGATAATATGGTAGTAATATAGTAAGGATGGGACCCAAACCCACATGAGCAGGACGCGTACGAGAATCAATCATCAGTCACGCTGGACTACAAAGCATTTGATGTAGAAGCTTGACATCGGCTTTATAAAGTAACTGTGACAAAAATCAAGGCGGATTCATAAACAACGAGCACAGAAATATATTATTTTATAAAATTTAGATAACCTTAACTACGCAAAATAATGAGGGAACATCATCAAATTGTTCAGTAGCTTCGGAGATCTAATAAAATTCGAAACAGACGATGAACAGACAGATAGACAGATAGATAGTCAGACGGAAATAGGGACCCAGAAAACACGAAAGTAGCTATTCGCTGGATGCAAACTTAGCTTATTCCGCTCGGAAAGTATAAACTTAAATTTAATACGAATAAATGCAAAGTGACGAAAACTCTACAACAAATTATGTAGGATTATGATTGTGATTGGTATAGTGAATTTGGGGAGTGTTTAACGAATTCGCAACAAAGCAGTAAAATACTTTATGCAACGTACTTTACTTTCGGCTGCAGATGCACGATTGTGCAAAGCAAAAGTATGAAAACAAATTACAATGTAAATTGTTTATAAAGTTATCATTAATAAAAAAATACCATACTTATTAAAAATTATTAACTATGATTTTTTGCAAATAGTAGACTCAGTTGATGCGAAAGAAGAAAAAATAATATATTTAGGTCACAACTGCATTTTCTTTTTGACAGACAATCTCCAAAACTACTGGACCGATTGATGTCAAATTTTATGTATTTTGGGAATATCATGTAAATAGTAAAACGCTAACCAAAATTCGTCTAATCATCCCCACCAACAGTGTGATGACGTCTCCGTAAGTACGTGTAAACGATGGCAAAAATCTTCACATACTCTTTTAATAAACTGACGAACATTTGAAGTAGTTTTGGTTTATATTTTCTTTTCAAGATTTAAAATTTGAATAATTTACTAAAATTATAGTTATTTACTACATACTCGTACATCCAAATACACCAAATCATCTACTTGGTTTTTTCTTTTTCTTTTAGTTAATTTTTCTTGAAACAGTACAAAATTCAGGTTTTATTGTTACAATATTCAATCCGTATACAAGACTATCAGAGAGCTAATTACAAAGCTATCAAGCAGCTTTAAAATCAATCTCGCCTGCACTTTCATGTTTGGAACATAAATCCATTTTTAAGTGAATCAAACGATGCCAATTGAAATTTTAATTAAACTGCATTTTATCATTAAACTTCAGAAAATTGACAATTCTGCAGTTATTCGAAACCAGCCAATATCGAAACTATACTGATATGTATTTATTGGAAAATTTAAATGTATCAGCCGGACCGGACATCAGCATGAAATAGAAAAATGTTTACTTTTTACTTTATTTGTTGATAATTATAAAATGTTGTAACACAAAATTACACTCTTTTGAAGACAAAAAAAAATAAATTAGATCGTACAGTAGTTAAAATTTCTAACAGTTCTACATTTTATTGAAATAAAAGTCGCAGTCGGAAATACAAAAAGCTGAGCGTAGGGGGTCTCCTACAATCATTTAAGTCCTTTAAATTCGATGCGTCCACAATATTTGTTTTTTATTCGGAAACAATTTTCTAAGCTCAAACCCCGAGTCCGTGGCCATCATATAACCCTTAAAGAACCGTTCTAAAATTCTGCTGAAACAGCTGTCATTCCGCCAAGGAAAACTTATCTAAAATTTTAAGAAGCTGTTTAGCGTGCAATTCGCAAGCCATGCGTGTTCAAGCAACACATCAACGGTCCAGACTCCGCAAAATTGATATTCCATTACTGTCGACTTTTACAGAACGTCCAGCAAGGCGGAAAGGACAAGCGATGTTGCTGGGTATGCGTGCCATGTCCCAGTGGGGAAATCCTGAACGAAGAAGGGGAGAGCTGCGACCGCTGCCCACTAGGATCCGTGCCTGACGAACGAAAACAAAGTGAGTAGATTGCATCACGAAAATCGTAAATCCCTTCATGACCCGACGATTTCAGCCTGTCTGCGACTGCCCATAGAACACATGCAATGGTGGAACACCCAGGCCATCGTCGCCATGATTTTTGCCTCGCTGGGCTTCCTCAGCACCTTGTTCGCATTCCTCGTCTTCGTGAAATACAACAACACTCCAGTCGTCAAGTCTTCCACTAAAGAACTGTGCTATATTATTTTGGCAGGAATGACAGTTTCTCACGCTAGTATTTTTGCTATCCTTGCTAAACCGTCAGAAGTGTCTTGCGCGCTAAGTCGATTTCTTCCAGGGATGAGTTTCGCGATGATTTATGCTGCTGTTTTGACTAAAACCAACAGAATCGCCCGAATTTTAGCCGGAAGCAAGAAGAGATTTCCTACAAGAAAACCATTGTTTATGTCAGCTACAGCTCAAGTAGTTATCACGTGTTTTCTAGTAGCTATTGAAATCTTCATCTCGGGAGGGATGCTCCACTTCCAGGTCCCCACCACCATACACGTTTATTCCACCAAGAAAACTCTTCTAGAATGCGACACATCGCCTGAAGCAATCGTCGTTCCTCTCGCCTTTGACTTTTTCCTCATCATTCTTTGCACTCTGTACGCTGTCAAAACAAGAAACGTTCCAGAAAACTTCAACGAAGCCAAATTCATCGGCTTCGCAATGTATACAACCTGCGTAATTTGGATAGCTTTTGTGCCCATCTACTACGGAAGCGAATCCAAAGTCATTACTTTGTGTATGTGTGTCACTCTTAGCGCTTTGGTTATTTGGGTTTTCTTGTTCGTTCCTAAACTGTACATAATTCTCATCAAACCGGAAAGAAACAACCGTGCTCTTTTCACCACCAGCAAAAGCATTCGGTGTCATATAGGTTCCAGAGTGGCGTCAGCTGTCTCCAACAAGAGTTCTACTAACAGCTGGAAAGACAGTACGACCTCGGGAAGAGAAAATTTACCACCACAAAAAAGAACTATGTCGTGTCAAACTGGAAGTGAATTACTCCAGGTTTTGCTCAACCCGAAAGCCCTCATGGAACCTTACACGACGACTACCAATTCGTGTACATTACCAAAGATTACAGAGAGAGACTGCTGTGAAGCCGATAATTGCCAAGTTAAGAAAATTATTATTGAATTACCTGACAATCCAGTTTATTAGAGTTAGATATACAGACTTCAGTCAATTTTGACCAAAAGTAAAGAGGCAGTTTTAATTTATTATTAACTGTGATTTAGATTACGCGAAATGTTTCTCTAATAAGTGTGCCAAAAATGTAATTTCAGTTTTAGTCAACACAATAAAGTTGCCTCTTTACCACAGTAAGTATATGCTACTTACCAAAAGTTGATACTAGTCAATAAGTTTTATCATCTACTTCGTTCAAATGACAACTAGAATCGTCTTGTACAAATGTATAGGTTTAACTTTTTTAGATGTAAATGTTTTTCTCTTCAGTATTTCTGTACACAAATATTCTATTTTATATGTTACGACGTATAAAGTTTTAGTAATTTCTCGTTAACAAAATATGAATGTGTTCATAAAGACCAAGTAGTAAATGTACAATTTTCCAGTCTTCGAAGCAATACTGTTTACTGTTTATAATAAAATTTCAGTTATTAAAGGTCTTTTATTTTCCATTTCAAAAGACACGACGGCCACTGTATTAAGACCTAGGAATATAAAATAATTTAGCTTAAAATTAAGTAACATACTTGGTGCCACTATATTATATTTCACATATACAGATAAATACAAGGTGCTATTTTACATAAATAATAAACTTGCGATTGTTTTCAACAATATTTCGTTAATACTTCTCTGGATATGTATAGACTAAGGATGTCACTTAGTGTTTCAGTGTTAAACACAAGACGGAACTTTTATTGAAACTAAAACTACTTTATGCGTTCCCCCTTGTATTTATGCATAAACGATAAAAGCTTTGTCTTTTCGTTTTTATACATTTACTTACATTTAACAAATTAGTATATTTATGTATGTAGATATGACGGCAATAAATGGCAACTTAAAGATATGTAAATGTTTAGAACTCCAAAAACTAGTTTCACGGTTAAGCCGCCGGGTGTTGATTGTTGTTAATCGTTCTATTTTTAAGTCAGTCAAAACTGCTTAAATGAAACTAGCTTAAAAAGTGACAGCGTTACAAGTGCTCCAGCACATCCACTAAAGTCACACTTCAATAAAAGTGATATAATATACACTATCTACAAATAAAAATCTACAAACAAAACGGAATAAATGCTCTATTATTAATTTCAACAAATTATTATCAACAAGTATTTTGTACATCCACAATGTGGGTTTGATACCCAATAAATTTATACAATATTCGAACGTAAACTAAATTTATATTAGAGATTACTTATCATAATTCTAATCAATGTACTCCGCTTTTGCAACATTTATAATAAACAACAGTTTAACTTTAATAGACACGATGTTGAATATATCTATAATAAAAAATTTTTCGTGTCTATATTTATCAAAATTAGAATTTTCCAAAAGCTACTGTTTCCAAAATAAACTATCTCGTAAAAACTTCTACTTAAAATGATATGACTTAAAATGGTGTAATAGTACGATACTTTCTATATTTTAAAATTTTAAAGAGAGCTTACACTCACATCAAAAAGTAAGTAATATCAATTACCCTCTAACGCTTAAGTCTTTATCTATAAATCCTTACGTACTTAAACTCAATCTTATCAATTTGATAAAAATCAAAAAGAATAATTATTTATGGTAGTGTGGTGTCTCATTTTACCAATCATAACTACAGCTAGCAGTGGTAATGGGTTGTTGCGTCTGAAGAGTCGTAAACTCGGATGAAAATCCACAGGAATATTGGACCAAATTAGTATTCGTCTGTAAAAATATCGCCATTATTTAAATTTTCTGCCTGGGTTTCACGTTTCATGCTAAATAATCTTCAGGTACTTACTTCTTACCTGGAACCCAGTGTATCGTTGATCGCCCGTATTCTGCACAAACGGATTTACTGCTCCTCCTCCGGGAATATCCAAGGTCCCTCCCTGTCCCATCTGGTAAGTTGCACCATAACCGTCTTGTTGAGCTAATTCATGAAGTTTAGTGCTAGACAAAGCTCTGGGTATCGGGTTACTGGGTACACCATGCGGTGCTAGATGCGAGGTTTCTTCGGCAACTTGGTGTGGATCTTCAGTTGGAGGTAGATCAGAGACAAAGCCCTGATCTACACGATAGAAATTGATGAAAACAAAAACTCCCAATACCACAAGACATATTAGACCGTAACCTCGAAACGTGGCGGTAGACCCAAACGAATTCACAAACAATCCCCCAATAACGGCACCACAACCACGTCCTAATCCATGATGAATACCTTGAAGGACCCCTTGAGCCGATGATCTCAGATGAGGCGGTGTGTTGTGAGCTAGATATGAACAACATGCCGCCCAAACTGCAGCGTGAGTGATTCCCTGAAATTTAAAGTCCTGAAAGCATTCAACGTGTTTGCGAAAGCCTAACCTGCATGAACTCAAACGGCAAAACCCACCAGGGCTTTGATAACCACGATATGTATAGAAATCGTAGAGTGTTGCCGATAAGACCAAGGCACAAGACTTTAACGTGGCCCATTTGTCTGATCAACCTAAAACTGAAAAAGTAGGCGAAGATTTCTGATATGTGGTTGATAACGGAAGCCACTCCAAACAGTGTAGGGGAACCTCCATAGTCTTGCAAGTGCCAAAAAAGAAAAGTGAAGATTAAGCCAATTCCAAAACCCATGAACCATGCCACGAAGAGGAAAGAAGCACATTTCAAGTTTTTGAACTGTTGAAGCACTGTGACCCACTCGGGCATTTCGCGTGTTGTTTGAGCAAATACTTTGGTCTAAAGAAAAGAAGCATTGGCGAAATGTTCACCTATAAAGCAACATTACCTTTTCTTCCGTTGGTTGAATAGGAGCTGCTCTAGTATCTGCCAAAGACGGCAACTGCAATTGTTCGGCTAGTTGGGCCTGCATTTGATCTTCGTGTGACATCGGTGGTGGTTGTTTCTCTGTATCGGACTGCGGTGGAGGTGGAGGGTCGTCATACTTGAAAGTTATTTGAGTCGCTGTTATTAACGCAGCTCCCATAAGAACCGAGAACGTTGCGAAGCAAATAGTGTAGTTTTTCTCTTTTTTATATGGCCCGCACGGATGATTGGGGAAAGAGGTGGAATGATCTAGGGCTATGCCAACGAAGAACATAGCTAAACCCCATCCCAGAGAACCAAACATTCTTTGATGACCATAACGATCGGCATCTTCACCAAGTAGAGTGATTACAGCTGAATCTGCCAAAGTAATAGCTGGTGCGCTGAAAAACTCTCCAATTATTACTAAAAGAATGAGAAGGAAGAATGCTTTTTGGATATCTTGAGTTCGGTAAACGATGGAAGATATTATAGGCTGTACCCAGCTGTCATGATCTTGGGGTTTATAATTGGCTGCGTAATTCACGTTTATGGGTGACTGCCCAGCGTTCGGTATGGGTCGGGCCGAGCGTTCAGTTCTAATGTGCCTAAAATAACCGTATGTAGAGTGATGAACCTAATTCGTCTACCAACCTTAAAAATTGCGTTGAATCATCCGCCCGGTGTATATACGAAGGATTCTCCATCATAACCGATCTCTTGTTTACCATCCTCATGTTGACATTAGGCGCTATCAAAACAGGTGAGTTGTTTCTATATTCCATGCAAGACGTTGCTGGTGGCTGTATCGAGCCCAAAGGAACAGTGAAAACTATCCAAGCAGATAAAGACGCTAAAAGCAACAATTTCCCTTTCTGCCACCTATCGGCCAAACTTCCCCAAAACGGAGCCGACAGAAACTCCACAAAGGGCCTAATCCCGATGAGAAACCCGCACTGGCTAGCATTCATCCCCATTTGTTTAAAATACACCCCCATCAAAGGAAACAGCGATCCGAAGGCAGAGTAGAAGAAAAAATAAAAGCTCTTTACTATCAACAACTCTTGATCAACTGGACCGAAGATCATTTCAAGGATGTCGGATTTTCCGCGGATTTTGTGCGTTGCTTCTTTGGGTTGTGGATACCTGTTAGGGTTTGTTATAAAAATGTCGCATCGAGTAAGTATGTCTTACATGGAGGGATCGACTTCTCCGTGTGCCTCTGGATCGACCATGGGCCGTACACCAGGCTGGGGCTGAGGCACCCCGGCTCCGGAATACTGGTAGTCCATTTTTTCCATCTTTTAAACACACACACGAATTTGGAACACAGGAACACTGCGTGTTCCGTCCGATTGAATCGATGTTCACTTGCAGCAGCAGCTGTAGGCGACCGATCAATAGGAGCCGTGCGCCGCCAATTTGTTTTCATGGAGTGGCGCTACTGTGTGTGGAGGCGGCTATCGCTTGAAGAGGGCAACATGTGTGTAAATAATATTAATTCATCTACAAATTTATTTAGTGCACTTAGGATAAGAACTATTCAGGAATTTAATTGTTCTATGTTTATTTATTATTATTATTATTATTATCGATCGGGCAGAGACATCCACCGGTTATGATCGCGTACAACAACTACTATGTAATGTAACTTAAATAACAAACAGTATCAAAGAATAGAAACATCTAGTCCTGCTGTCTGTATTTAAACTGAATATATGTTTAATTGAGGTGTTCACATTCGTAAGTGCTTTTCTCTTACACATCTTTCAGTAAGCGTTGGCAATTTCATCATAGACAGCATATCAAGATATCCCGGCCTATTTCGTCAAAGGGTATTCTTGTTGCTCGACGCTAGACATTTTCTAGTAACGTTATATCTTTCTGTAACACTGGTGTCCACACACTTTTGCCAAACTCTATTATGGATTTTACAAAAGTTTTATATAATTTAACAGCTACAGAAATATTTGTTCTGTCGAATGATTTACTTAGCAGGTACACCATCTTGTTAGATTTTTTTGTAATATACATAACATGCTCTGACCATGAAAGATTAGACGTTATCAAGGTACCTAAATCTAAATATGACTCTGATTTTTTGAGTTCCGCACCTCCTACGCTATATGTGTGCCTACAATTTTTAAAATCTAGGTGTAAAATAGTACAGTTGTCTCTATTTAATGGTAAACCCCATTGTTCCGATCATTTAAGAACAGCTGAGATGTCATTTGTCATATAATAAGATGATTGCAACTTTCATTATAAATTTTAAGATCATCCGTGTACATTGCAAAGTGAGAATTTATGGAAAAGATCAGCGGTATAAACTAAAAAAAAAAAGTGGACCAAGTACCGATCCTTGAAGTACACCACTAATTACTTGAACTATAGCACTCAAAGCGTCTCCTATTTTTACGTTAAATGAGCGATCAGTAAGGAAAGCATCGATCCAACGACGAAGTTTACCTTGGATTCCAAAATGTGGTAACTTATATACAAGTATCGTCTAGGCACACGGTCGAAGTCGCTGTTTTCCAGTCAAGAGATAATACACCTGATCGAAAATACTGGTTAATGAGTATGCATATGAGACGAGAAAGGTAGCACAACCTTTTAAAATTTTGGCAATAATTTTATCAGGGCCCGAAGACTTTGTGGATTTTAATTTAAGAAGTTTTTCCAGCAGTTTCTTCAGGAAATTGTATATCAGTCAAGGGTGCTACATTTGAGGGAACATTTATGACTGGTATGCTATTTGGTTCACTTGTAAAAACAGCAGCAAACATAGATGCGAAAATAATAAATCAGTATATTTAGCCATAAGCGAGGCAATGTGTGAATAAACTACAGTACTAGTAAAATATTCACAGTTTGCATTAGTGAATACGGTGACTAAGAAATAGAATTATCTAGAGCCGTTAAAGATGGGTTGTCACAAACATTGGTAGAAGAATGTAATATTTTTTCGTAAGCTCTTTTCTCGTCAATAGAGGAAAAATATCGTATAACATCGAAGATACACCTTCTACATCGGCAGTATATTTATGGAGCAGTTGTAAAATGTCTACTTCTCCAACCGCTTTTTTCATAAATTCCAATGTTTGTGAAAAACTAATAAGATATTGAACATTATCTTGTTGTTGTTCTTTAGCCGGTTCTAATAGCTCCAGTTAAGCTTTTAGTCGAGTCAGATCTGATTTTTTTAGCTTTCCTGTTATCACTATCATCAGAAATTTCGAATAATCTACCAGAAAGATCCAAAGAATTCTCTACAGGTGCTTGTATTATTAGACTTAGAAAACAATGAAATTACACCAGTACAATCATTCATTAGCGAAATGCCCAATCATTTCACATTTTAAACAAGCGTTGTCATAACCTCATAACTTACGAAGATCCGGTAGTTTGTATTGTCAATTTTAGAACCAAAGATGACAGAAGGTCTAGCATTTCATTAGGCTGAACATAAATTTGTCTCCTAAAGCTGAAAACATGATTGTATTTATTGTTTGCAACAGCCCCCCGCAAAGAGGACATTTGTGATACCGTTTGTAGAATGTAATGGGGAATCGACGGACGAACGTTCGAAAAGATAATTCTCCCAGCAGGGTTAATTAATCGACGCCCGCGATTTGTTTATCTTGAATAGTGATAGCTGAATTCTCGAAATTAATCTGGTCCACATACGAAAGATCACTCAAATAAATGGATATGCGTTCATTAGACATAAGAGAAGCAAAAATAACATTCTTTGCTGTGACTGTATCACCTATAGCCACCACGTAATCTGTAAAGCTGGATTTATAAACTCATCCGCAGCAGCGCAGTAGCTGTTGACGCAGCCGCCAACAAGTTGAAACATTTGAATTGTTTATGAATCTCTTTCTCTCAGTAGGGAACTCGAATGTTTCAACTTGCCGCAGTTGCGTCAACAGCAACCGCTGCTGCTGCGGATGAGTTTATAAAACCAGCTTAAGCTTCAAATCTTTAATGGAGATTAGCACATTGGCTTATTCCTTTGCTAGAGACTGAGACCTAGACGTCTCCATTTCTGACAGGTTAATCAAAAGATGCTATTTACTTATACTGATAACAGAACTACCAATACTATAAGTGCCGACAAACGATATATTAAACACGACTGTGGCTATGAACACGTTATCAGTAACTTCCAATAACGACTTTAAAGAAGCAGTTTGTGTTTAATTTAAACTCACCCAAAAATGTTGGAAAGCGAGGAGCAACTAAAATCACAACCGTACTCCTAGAACTAATAAAGTCTGAAGTTAAAGAAGACAAAATGTTTAATTTGTTGTGGTGCCTAAATTCGATAATATGACATGTTTATAATTTCTAGTTAGAAATAGTGTAACCTAATTTTAAGACTTAGGTCGTTAGGTTCCCTGACCTAACAACCTAAGTGATAATAACAGTCTTTGCCACAAATATAAACTGTTAGAAGTCCAGATGTATTAATTATTATTGGCCACCTACACAAAAACCACGGGTTTGTTTTACAATTTTTATATAAAATGGTTGTTATGATGGACAGTCATTTATTATTTTAACAAATAATTATTATTTTAATAGTCGTCACTTTGCAGCTGCTTTCTTTTCTTTTTGAGATAACATCTTTACAAACAAAAGTAAAATTCCAGCAAGAGTTAGGACACTTCCCGCAAAAATAAAACTGGAATTAAAAGTAGCGGTTGCTGTTACAATCATTCCGGTGAGTGGCACTCCCAAAAATCCAGCAATACCATTAAATAATAACACTATCCCGAAGGCATTTGTCAAGTTTTCTAATCCTAACAGGTCTACCAGTATTGGAGTTCTCAAACATGTAAAAGTCGCTTAAAATAAATCAGTAATTTTCTATGAATGTTGATGTTTTAAAAAAATTACCCATTGTTAATCCAAATATGATGCAGTAGCCAAAATGTGCTATTAAATTTTTGAAAAAGGCAGAACAAATACTTGATATTCCACAAATGAACAACGTCACATAAGATATTTCCAAAGGCTTAGCTTTAGGATGTGTTGAAGCTATTCCGCTTAAAATACGTCCGAAGATGTTTGAAATTCCCAAAGCAGTATAGAAAAAAGTTGACTGGCTTTTTTCCACACCGACTTCATCCGCTCGTTCGATGATATAGATAAAAGGAGAATACAAGCCTAATATATACAAAAAACCACTAAGGATAAGTACAGAAAATGACGGAGATTTCAACAATTGTAAATTCATCATGGTTGTTAATGTTCTAACAATAGACTCCGGACAACATTTACAAAAAACTTGTTCATTTCGTGTTTCTTTTAACAAGTCAACTCTTGTTACAGACATTGTATAATCCATACTTTTCGCCTACAAACTGTTTTTTAAAAACAACAACATTCGCTAATATTTAATGCTACTTTGCTTAGGTGTGAAGCCTTCGATTGAGCGTACTCGGATAAGGTGAAAAGCGATGCTCCATAAAAAATATCGTCTCTGTACATTGGTCTGTTTGGAACTTCTGCGTCACAACAAACTCTGCAACATTTAAACCGACAACAAAGTCTATAAAAACACTTTCTACTTCGAGCGTTTTCGACTTCGAGCACAGTACTGAGTTTACTTGTTTTATCCAATCTCTCTGAGCGAGTTTCGGCAGTTTTCGAGGCAGTACTTTTGAGAAAGGTGGATGTGCTTCCTTCAGCAGTACTAGTCATGAAAATGGATGAAGCACTAGACCCTGCGGGAAAATACATCAAACTGGTGGATTATTGTATGACCGGGCATGAGTAGGGTAACGAGTGTTGTGAAATCCTTACGAAAAAATCCTATCCTTTCACTCCCTTTGTCTTCGACTTCCTGAAAGTATACACTTCCATCTCCAATCGAGAGAACTTGAACAATTGATTTATCCTTGTTAGTTAAGACACGTGTTGGTTTTAAAGGTCGATAAAAAAGTGCCACTGCACTAACTACTACGCAAATGCCTGCTATAACATGAAATTTTGATTTCCAGTCGTAGTTCGCCAAAATACCTTCTATAATAAAGGGAAAGCCTATAATTCCAACGGCCGAGCCTGTTACAGCCAATGAAGTGGCCAAAGCCCTCCATCTTTCGAAGTAAAATCCAATTACTATAATCGACGGTACATATACCAGACCAAAGCCACAACCCCCAATAACTCCAAAAACTATCAAAAATGTGTAAAAAGAGGTAGTGAACGTACTGAAGCAGAAAGCGCCAGCAGCGATGATTCCACCTATAACTCCTGTCACTTGAAATCCTAAACGATTTACAAGTGCACATGAGACGGGACCTGTAATATGATACGAAGTAAAAGAGAAAAAAGAAATTTGTAAAATTACCTGATAAATAATAAAAGCCAACCATTAAAGAACTAGCGATTGCTATATTTGTCGGTAGGGTATTGAATGCTTTACTGATATCATTTAAAAAAAGGCCGAATGTGTAAATTGCCCCATCAACAACAAAATTGCAAAAGAATGAAGTAACTACCACAATCCATCCCCACCCTCCGTCGGGTGGTATTGTTAGATATGTATCTATATATTCTTCACTAAGAGCAACCTTTGATTTGTGGCTTGATCCTGTAGAAGAGTAATCACTAGTTAAACTATCTCTTTTACTTTCCATTTATATTATCAACAAAATTCAAAAGTTTGCTTAATGTAGATACTTAAAAAGTCAAAAATTTGACGTACGTTTAGTTCTCTCAGAAACTAGGATTATTTAGTAGCCTTGGTTAGAAAAACAAGCCATCATAGTTAATCGATGATAATTATATCAATAACAAGAACATCCACTTTCAATAATGTCGAATTTGACAAGATTTTCTGTTTCTTTCATTGATTATTTCTAACTTCATCTGTGGTCTAACACTATTTGTGAAGTGTTAGTTGTAGTTGTAGCAAGGACCAATATATTAACTAACTATTTTAATGACTCCAAATGAAAAGGAAATTTATTTTGTTGATCTCGAAAATTCAAAATTCTCAAACAAAAGTATATAAATGAAAATTTCATATTACAACAGACAAGTTACGCAAAGCACACTGTTTAGGAAATCATTAGATATATTATTATTATCATTACTTAGGTTAATTTCTAAAGTTCCTCTGTGTTGTTGGAAATTCACCACACATTGAAAAATAATATAAGTTTTCTTTCTCATCCCCATTGCACAAAGCAGGCGTTGAGAAAGATAGCTTGCTCATCCAGAGTCAAGTCGAGGACGATTTCTATTGATTGCATCCTATTAATTTTAAATGACTTTCTTGATGACTCATGGATTTTTACGGAACTTTATATATTACCAACATAACTGATAACTGATTTGATGAATAAGAAAAATTGTGAATAACGAAAATAGGAACCTTCGCTGAGAGAGAATACAATTTTTCAAAAAACCATTGCAGTTTCAATATGGTTCGCATTTCGCTTTTAATGCCAGTATCAAGTTGACGTAACTAAAGTCCGCTACGTAAATATCAGAGTTACGTGACAAATGTGTGAGGTTTTTATGACCTCATTAACTAGAACTGAGGTAAATTTGACATTTACGAAAATAATTTACCGGAGTGTCTTCTAAAAGACTTTAGGAGACTATTTACACTTATAATGGACATTTAAGTTGACTTTTGCTGGCAAACAACACCCTCAAAAGATATCATTTTGCAGCTGGTGTTATGAATCCAACCAAGGTATCACAATTACATTTTTGCTGCTGATTTCAAATTAGACTTAAATTTGTTATTTTCCTATTTTTGTTGATCACATTGTATATTAAAAACGGCTAGAAATAAGAGAAAATGACTGCAATATTCGTTAGCGTCCGTCAAAATGAGCATACTTGCTTCCTGTCCAGGGTCGGATTAGATCGCCGCGCCCACTGAAACGGGGATTGGTAGAACACAACGTTCCTTTTACAAACTTTTCGAGTCCGGCACTGATCTCTTGGCAGGCAAAGAAATATGTGGGTACATAAGCTTTGCTTGGGGTTTGTCATTCACAGTGTCACCGATAATCCCCCTTTAAATAATATTCGACTTAAATAAATAAGTTCATAAATATTTTAATAAATTGAGGACGCCAGTTTTGAAATGGTTTCATTGCCAGTGGCATCTTGACAAATGTCAAAATAGTTGTCAATTTCAAATTATCTCAAAAAAAAAACAAAAAAAATGGGTTCGTCAAACGAGTTTCAAATTTAAATAAAATTATTCACAAAGAATATAAAACAAATACTTGTAAAGCTGTTAGTAAAAGTTATAGTTTAACATTATTGACGATTTACAACTTTGTTCCCTGCAAAAGGTTGTCCATTGCGTTTTCTCACTTAAAAGCGTTCAGGGATTCTTTTTAATCACGGAATTAGATGTGCTCCAGTTACTAAATCAGCGAATAACACTACAACTCCGAATATGAAATACTTCATGAAAAGATTTTAAATAATCTGCCAGAGACACATTTTTAAGTTCAGACGTTCCACTTGTCCGGATAATTTATTAAGGCTATTAATTTAAAGGTCATATTCCATGAATTCATTAAACGGACCACGCCAGTTACAACACGGTTATTACTGGTTGCAGAACTATAATATCATAAAATCTGATTGTTAGTTATAAAAGCTTGCAAATAATTGCGTGTAACAAGAACTCGTCAAATTTAGAAGACTTAGAAAGACCTGTAGATTTTGTTGTCATTCATTTTCTTTCCCCACATTCAAGTTTAATTTACATTCGAAACAAAAACCTTGAGGCAATAGTTTCAGTAACTATGTATTTTTGTGTCAACAAATTCATTATAAAGTTATTTGTCTTATCTGTCTAAAAATTTGGTCTACAGCTATGAATATAATAAGTTAGAGTAGGAAAATCGATCATAATAACAATACACAATTGGAATGTCCAACAAGAAAGTGTTATAAATAATTGTTCCGCAATTATAAATTCTTGACCAATTATACAAATTCCACAATTTTCCATTATTAAATATTAAAACTACCGCTTTAAATATTTACACGTCTTAAAACTATCAGTCTTCAATACGAATGAACCCTGTCATTATATGTAACAAAAGTACACAAAAATCTGTGAAGCGTATCATATTCGAGTATTTTATATCCAAATGGCAAAAACTTGATACGTAGATACCGTGACGTAGTACCAATTTAAATAGGAACGTGGAAAATTATGAATTATGCAAAACTATTGCTTATAAATAATCATTAAACTGGTACTGATTTGTTATCGACGTTGTTTCGTTTTGCCATTTCGATCCTGTTGATATAATTTAACGGATAGCACATTACAGCCGACAGTAACAGAAGTCCTCCCGAAAAATAAAAAGACGCATTATAATCTCCAACGGCTTCGTTAAAGGCTCCAGCTAAAGGTGCCCCGAAAATCGCAGCCACACCTTGGAAAAGAAGAAGAAGACCAAAGGCGTTGGTCAGCTTTTCCAGACCCAGAAGATCCACAACTACTATCGATCTCAAAGATGCAAAAGTGGCTGCAAAGGTGACAACAAGTTAGTTAAACAAATCTCATTCGATTGTTAACACTTACAAATCGACAATCCAAACACCGCGGTATAGAAAAACTGGTATTCCGGTGTCATGGAAAATCCACTAAATATCGTGGCAATCCCGCCGATCGTGAGAGCAGCGTTAGTTACGAAGAGGGCGTTCACTCCGGGGAAGGAACTAAGAACACCGCACAGAACCCTTCCAATAGTGTTGGCAATACCTATAGCGGATATGAGAAACCCGAAGTACTCTTCGATCATACCGGCATCTTTGGCACGGTTCACCAAATACATAAAAGGTACGTAAAATCCCATCATCGTGAAGAAACCACCAACAGCCAGAAGAAGAAAAGTGGGAGATTTCAGCAGACTGTAGTCCAGCATTGTAGCTAACGTGCGTTTCACGGCTTCCGGACAGAGTTTGCAAGAGCGTTTCTTTTCTTCATCAATATCGTTCTTAGTGGGTAACCTCGTGACTGATAAATTGTAAGCTATAGACGTGCGAGAGGTATATTGGGGTAAACGAGTTAAACTAGCACTAAAGAAGATATCGTCTCTGTACATTGGCCTATTCACTTCTTGTTCGGCAGTAGAATCTCTTCGTTCACCCGTAGGAACTATAGTAGCATTGGCACTTTGTTTTTCTAGCAAAAGTTCTTTTCCTTCCACATCTTTCACGCTATCTTCATTAGTGAAAAATGGAACACTGAGCCTTTTTTCGTAACATGACATGTCTAATACTCTTTGTTGAGGAATACTAATTGTGTGGTAAACATCCGAGACACGAGGATAACTGGCGTTGTTAGCACCGAGTACCCGATTTAACGACCCTTGACTGGCATGGCAAGATTCACTCTTCATTGCTTCTAAAGCTTTTTCCATCTTCATTTTAGTGAGTGGAGGGAGCTTTTCCGGGTCCATTTTCAATTCCGTCGCATCGTCATCTTTTTCTTTGATGTTTTGGACTTTGGTAGGTTTGAGCGGTCTATAGATATGAATATTCATAATTTGCTTATGTTAATAACTTATTGAATTACCTATAAAGTAACCCAAAAACGACAGATGAGAACACTATCGCGCCCTGGCATAAAAGCGCCGTCCTCCAACCTAAGTTTTCGATGAGCCATGCTGTCATAGGTGCAAACAAGAAGGTCCCAAAACCGGAACCACACACTCCAATTCCAGTGGCCAAAGCACGCCATTTTTCGAAGTAAAAACCCACAGTGATGATTGATGGAACATATATGAACCCAAAGCCGACCCCTTAAATAAAAATAAGTCAATTAATTCGAGGTGAACCAGAGCAAAAATTTTGCTTTTCTAGATATTATGTAATGAGCAAAACCACGTATTCGCATTTTTAATTATTGTCAGAAAACATTCAATATCCTAGATTACTTTCAAAGTCATGTGGTTCCGACTGCACACAATAATAAATCTATGACGCCACAGCCTACAATAATTAAAACACTGTTATCACATTGTTTGTGTTAACCTCGTGGTCTGTAAAATATCAACGACATTCCTAATCAATCGAACGCAGAAAATCAAAACTCACCTCCCAAAACGCCGAAAACGACGCACAAATATTCCACATTCATGGCAAAATTGGCCAAGGCAAATGCCAGAGCTGCCAAAACACTCCCTCCTATCGCGACGAGTCGGAACCCATATCTGTTCGCTACGGCACTTGCGAAGGGTCCGGCGATAAGATAAAACCCGGACATAAGGGACCCCACCAACGCTACATAGGCTTTAGTAACGTTAAACTCTTGGGAGATGGGTTCTAGGAAGCTACCAAAGGAAAAGATGATACCATCGACGATCATATTGCACATGAACGATGCAAACACCACCACCCAACCCCACCCACCATCTGGCGGGACGACAACCTCGGCTTCATCTTCTTGGACTACGTCATTCAAGGGTTGCTTTTCCTCGAGGTCTTTAGTGTCAATCTGAGACGATGTGGGTACCGGGAGATATTCGTTTTCGGAGTTGCCCGGAGGAGCACCATTTGGAGGAGACATTGCTTACGGTGTTACCTAAAAAAGGGCGTGTTATCTACAGGTGTGAGAGAGGGGGGTGTGATAGGTGCGGAGCGATTTTTTCACGGTCATGTTATAGTGGCACTAGGCCGATCTCGCTGTACCTGTTATGCTAAATTAATAGACTTTTTTCTTAATCATTAACATTTTAACTATTCGGATAGACACGTGTGGTGCGCTAGTGAAGACATGCTGCGAGTTTTTATTTATTGCATCTTGCAGATGCTTTTACTCAATAGTTTCGGAGGTATTTTCGTTGATAACATAACTGGATTTAATGAGTTTCTTGTTTAAAATTTATGTGTTATGTAAAATTTGGGCTTAAAATATTTCGACATGTATCTAATTTAATTTCAAATGGTTAAACCAGGAACCGGACACGAGGTGTATAAATCACATATTAAAGCTGATAGAAGAGTAAAAAACTGCCAATATTGAAATCGACTCTTTCAAATTGCAAGGTTGATGAAATAATTATGAAGTTTAAGGTTGACGTCAATTTGACGAAAACCGGAAATATTAACGCGTTTTTTTTACAAGTTTGGAAGTGTCGTAAATATTCAGTTATAAAAGATAACAAATTTTTTCACGTATATGGCTTTTTAAAATAAAGTACCGTTCCACAGTAAGACCCTATACTTATGAATGAAAGTTAACGACTAGTTAAAACATCTACCTGCTTTTAAAACGCCGCGCCGCACCACCCTTCGGTAATCTATCCCTTGGAACTATTCCGGTACTTCTTTCAGAAATGCCGAAAGTAATTTAAATAGTTCAAACACTGATAGTGCATATAAAAAAATCGAAATAAAAGTGATTCGAAAAAGGACTTTTGCACTTACTACTTACGTATAAGAACTGATTTTGAAAAAAAAAATTTTGCAAAAATAAAAAAATACAATAAATAATAAATTTAACAAAAGTTTCTGTCATACCTTAAAAAGAACTGTAACATAAGCCCAAACTTTGTACCACACTCGGTCACAGAAGCACATGCAGTGTTTTCCCGCGTTCACTTCAACACGTACTGGTTGACTGAAAACACAGAAGTCAGAACTTGGCGCGTAGCGTAAGAATTGTTATATTTCTACTAGTAGTAATCAAGCTCCCCCACTATTTATACCATTTCAGTAATAACATTTCGATAGTTTTTTAAACCCAGTATCCCATCATTGCTGGGAAATTTATTTACGCCGAACTGTAGAGATATTAACCCATACACATAATTATTACAACAAGTCATTTCATAAAACTATAATAGCGGCAAACGTATTGGACGAAATTTACAAAATAAAAAATTAAATTCACACACCAATCACGTAACAAAAATCTCAAAAATGCAGAAAATTGACTTTAGCAATAATTTATCCCTTTCTTTTTTTTATGATGTATCAGAAGAGATAAACATATTATTCCTCCGAGACTTTAAGTATATGTAAATAATAAATTGCATAAAATATTCACAGAACGAATCGTGACGACGCAAAATTGATATGATACATATTTAGAAAAGTTCTTGTCATTTAGTTCAGTTTCCAAAGGTTAGTGGATTACTTTAAACAACTGGCAGCTGTAAAATGATGTTTCAAAATCGCTCCGAACCTCCAGCAAAAAATAAATTTATAACTTCTGGTTTTGATATAGCAACAGACTTGTAGAACTCCTTCATTTTCCGTTTTGTTTACTACAGGCGAAAAAAATAATGCATATTAATTGTTGATCTCAGTTCTGCAAGTCATGTGTACGTTTATTTTTATGGATGCTTTTCAGATAGCATTCCTAGGAAGAGTCCCCTCGGCGGATGTTCCCGAGATACAAAAATAACACCCCTTGCGACACTCTCATAGTCTCATACAACAAAAAATATTTGTGTCTTGTTTTGCTGGTAACATCTTATCGTCCCGTAGAATATAAACCACAACCTTTAAACTTGCAAGAGATAAAAAGTTCACAACATTTTGCAGCAATACTGTATGTGTTAATCCTGACAAACATTTCAAAAACTTCCAAAAATAATCAAGTATAGATCTTAACTAACAAACAAAGCAAAAATATAGTTGTGAAAGTGGTCATTAATTGATATAAACAAATAAAGATATTAATTGGCAGGCCTATCTACCAGTACCACTAGAGTTATTTCATGAATTATCATAATTGGTACCATTTTCTAATAATTACAAAATACGCGTACTGACTCAATTTACATTTTCGGTAAACAAATCACGTGGATACAAAAAATAATAAAACGCTACGAATTAATTAAGAGAGCGTCACTGCATTTTTCCATGTTTTGGCGTTATTATCTAGGTAATAATTAACAAGAGCGTCTGTTGATAAACCCAAATCATTAACCGCATACACAGTACACACTCTAATGAAACTTGTCTGGATCATAGCGAGTACTTAATTAATAAATCAATTGAAATTTTTCCAAGTCCAACTATTGTCACCATAAAACCGGTTAAAATCTAAAATTCTAATTTTCTACATCGCAAGATGGGCGTCGTCCCACGAATATTTTTTTCTTTCCACCGAAACGCATGATTATACGCCCTGCAAAATCATACCCGAATGAATGGACCCTTGTTCAAACATAAATTTTACAGCATTTCTTGGAAGGACCAACCCTCATCCCTATGCCTTCAAACACATTTCTCTACACAAAAGACTCGAGGCGGTCTATTACGTCCTTCCACGACCAGTCTTAAAATTTATTGGCTACGGAAATTTTCCATTGGCAAATTATAATCATTTCGAAAAAACATAATTTTTGATAGCTGCGAATTAGGGATAACCTCTTGTACCCGTGATAAGTTAATTATGGGGTGTTTAGGTTCGTTTTTTTAATTACACAATCTTCATTATACAAAGTCTACAACCCAAACGACCCCTGTTATCGTTCGTACTGCAAGAATTAATTTAGGTCAAAAGTTGATGGAATTTTACACAGAGGTGTTGGGCCTTTGTGTGTAAAATGTAGCTGTAGGAAGAGTTACTTTGCGCAACGACTTATTTTATTACAATAAAAGTCAATAATAGAGTCACTCCTAAAATGTACTTAAAAATATTAATTCAGAGCAATGTTCTACTAATCTTCCGATATTTCAACACAGTTTATCGAAAATCCCTGACTCTTGAACAGTTCATTTTTTTATTCAGATTAATTACTACAGATAAAATTATACGCTATTTAAAATGCAAGTTCTACTTTTCCTTATGATAATTTTGTTGCATCTGCTGAATTTATTTCTATGAATATATTAACAAGTTTATCTCTTAACTAGTTAGAAATATGTGACTTCATATCCTTCATTTCATTTTTAACAGATTCTACGTATGCATAGCATAATGTCCTTGTTCAAATGACAGCAATATCTTATCGTTTTAAATATTTTAAATAAAAATTACACAAAATTAGCCAAACGATAATAACTAACTGACTGTTTAAATATTATGTGATCAAAATAATTTGTAATCGAGTTATCAAATGCGAAATTGTATGTTTGTTTTAGAACCATCAGTTAGAACTGGAGCTTAGCTTAATAGAATTATGACTTTTAATTTAGAACAGAATGTACTGGCTTAAAATGTCAAATTAATATGACATAAAACTATGATATGACCTGAAACATTTACACGATGATAAACAGCCAACTGCAAACCGGTTTTTGTTTTAAGACTTCGTATATTTTCGTAGTACCATATTTTAAACTATTTTAATCTTAATTTGAATAATTAAAGCTTGTAATGTTATTTGTACTGACCACGACGAATACTTTATGCCATACAATCATATTTTTACATAACAATCTAGTTAACAATTTTTGAAATGATATGATCAAATTTTTGCTGCGTACAGTACATTAATTTTAAGTTGTGCAATGTAACACTGATTATAACAATTCTGTGTTCTCAGATTTAAAATAAAATCAAACATTACAAATTAAATGCACAAAACACACGACAGATTTGTGGATTTCAGAAATTTAAAAAATCCCACGGTATAAAATACAATTTGGATTTTTTTGCGAAAACGTGAATGCCTGCAGTAAAAACTCAAGGCGAATTCATAAACCAAAAGTATGCAAGTATGTTATTTTTTAAACTGTAAATTGCGTTTACAAAAAGAAATGCGTTAATTAATATAGAACCTCTGTGTTAAAAAATTATTACTGAATTACATTTCCATTGGCCTCGAAGAACTATAATATAAAACAACAATATCAGAAGTAGTTACAAATTAATTGAAACATCTCCTTGATCTTTGCTTTTTATTATATTTTGTATTTTCGTAATAAAAAAGTGTTTAATTACATGATTTATTTCATACTAGAGTGATCATTTTCGACAACAAATTAGTGTCAGCCATCTGTTAACTATTTATTATTGCTAATTTAATCGTATAAATCTGGTTTTAGTAGGTTTTCCAGTGTTAATGCCACTTAAAAAATATGTGTAGTATTTGTAGTTATTAAGGTGTCAAACTTTAATCTTGAAGTGGTAGCCACTTATACGTGTTGATAGATTATTAAGTACCACTTTATGTCAAAAATGTAAGAATAATATCACAAGTGTGCAAAATTACCATAAGACCTTATTTGAAGGTTGATTCAAACGAACTAACTGGAAATAGATAAATTGGAATTAGAATACAACTGATTTATGCAGTTTATTATGTGAGATGGAACGTCTATAACAAAATAGGACAACCATTTTGACAAAAACTGAAAATGTTGATAGTTAAATAATAATTAAGTTTAAGTCATTTTTCAAAAATTCTGGTATTAAGTCTACACTTCCTTTGCAATTCGAGGTCCACATAAAACAGTAGCAAAAAACCGTTACAACAGCGTAAAGTGATAAAATTATAAATCCGGAAGAATTATTTGTAGGCTAAATTTGTTTGAAAGCGAAATCCGCTCATTTAGCACTGATCAGTCCATTTCCTTGACCGTAACCTGGGTGACGTCGGTCTTGTTCTAGGTAATGGACCGGACTCTACCGGTAATTCCTCACTATTATCAATCGGTAACCCGCATCCCGTCCCATTTGTTTAGCTATTCAAAAATCGCTCACTTGTGGCCTCGCTGAAAAAATTCAGAACAATTCTCGTAATTGCAAACATCGGTATTTGAGAATTTACCGCCTAATGTAATAAACTGACGAGTTACATCAGCCTAACATCAATCCTTGCGGTCATCTTTTTCTGCTATTTTTTGCCGTGCAAAAACGACTGAACGTACAAATTATTAGTTACGCTTGACGATAATTCAAACAATCACATAATTATACTCTTGGAAGAAATAATTGTCGTCTATGTCATACAAATCTGCTCTAAATGCTGATAATTGTGATGATAATGTGAATGGATATTGCATATCAAATAGCACCGGATACAAATTAAACGTGTAGTATGTAAATGCTTCGTAAACTTTATGATATTATCAGTTTAGTGGTTTTGATTGACAACAAATAAAACGATTATTTCGTTCATTCAATCTAAAATACTCTACGCAAGAAGGGTCCTTGAGTAGATACCTGCGTCACGCTTTTCGCAATATAGAACACTCTCCGTCGCTACATATGTATCTGCATTTTCTTACTCCAATTATCGGTGTCAATATTTTCAGCATGGTCTAGTCGTTGGTAAAGTATAATGATCTTAGTTCAATACCACGTGGCGTAAGATCTATTTAATTAAATGTTTATAAGGTCAAATCCATGTAAATAATCAGTGTTGCATAAATACTAAACCGCCACATAAGCATTCCATTGTAACAATTAAAAAAGAATAACCGACATAGAAATTTGGTAATTTGGCTGATGAAATCTTCACTTCTCTTGCACCAGGCGAAAGTAATATTGTTAACAAAATGTTCGGCGTTGGATTCAAGTTTTTTTGAAGAGCGAACAATTCTAATGCATGTCAAGTCAATGTCAACGAGCAGGTCAAAAAACCTATATAAAATATTTTGAGTCGACCGAGTAACCTAAACATCAAGCTACATTTTCAAAATCGTTGTTATCAAAATCACTTTCCTTTAATGAAAACCTTTTCTATTTATTTTCAGAAGA